CGCGTACGAAGACGAGGACCGAACTTCGAAGAAGATCGGTCGAAGCACGAGGTATGAAGCGTTGAGCGAAGTAAAAACCGAAGATTACACACCGCCCCTGGTCGAGCAGGCGCGTTACAATTGGCGAAGCGGTTCCATAACATGTGGTTCTAGTGTCGGCCCTCGCGGAGGAATGTCTTAAAAATGATAATCCAAACTCAATTAACCAGGGCTGTACACCTTCGTGTGTAACTCGTGGATGTTGTTGGACACATCAGCATATGTCCGGGTTTCGTAACGCGTGACATGCATGTCTCACACTTCCTTGAATGTCGAGACGTGAGAAACATAGGCCAGGTTGTCGTAGTCAAGCCGAGGATGTCAAAGGTCTTGTCTTCCTTCGAGTCGTAGTCGTCCTCATCATCAGCGTCGTCGCAGGTGTCGTCGCCGCTTCACAACTATCCACAAGCCCTTGCTGCGAAACTTGGCTTGAATGCGCACCTTCTTTATGCTGAAGTATACGTCGGCGAACAAAAGGGACTTAGCCTTCTCTTCCTTCGCGTGGGTGATCGTTGAGCTCATAACCTTTTAAGACTTGGAGAGGGAAAGCTTGGAAAGACTTGATTGAAGAACGAAATATTCAATTGTGTTTACTTCATTGCTCTGCAGTTCACTACCAACGATGGCTACATAATGGAGTCAACTTTGTTCTATCTTTGTCGATTGTTGAGAATGACATAAGTCAAATGTATCCTTGTATACATAACTATAGAGTAGTACTTTGAAGTATATCATGATACCATTTCCCAAAGGTTGTCAACGGTTACTTGAGGAAGCCTAAGCGACGTAGTCGTCGACGTAATGTATGTGGGTGTCAACTACGTCGCCTTGCAATATCGTCGACGTATTGCATATATTCCATATGCAAGCAAAAGTCGTAATGAGACATTTGTTCTCTAATCCAAACTTATGATTGGTTGTTATTTAATACTTCGAAGTATGTAAGTAACCGCTAGAAGAAATATACAATTCCTGGGGGCGGCGACGATGCAAACACTCGACTTGGAATACAGCGTCCATAGCAAAGTTGAAACGTGGCTGTACGACAAGACCGAGACGACACAACTGTGGACAATCCTGCTGAAGTACAACGCAGCCCACGAGAACAATCGCGACATCTTTCAAGGGCTTATCGCCGCATCGAGGGCCAAGTTGCATTACTTTGTGGACAACAGAAACAAGTGCGCAATTCGTACGGCTACCACGGGTCCGAACATTTGTCCCGGTTGTGCAATTATAAAGGGATTAGTGGTGTCCCCAGTCCCAGATGCGTAAAAAGATTCTGCAAATCGGTAATTTGGATAGTGAAAAATTATGCTGAAACTGATTTAATCGGTTCCATTGAGTAGATGCGTTGCTTGACAACATCAACCGTTATCCCGTTATCCCCCTCAGTTTCCGTCGCTTGTGTGGTTGTGGACGTCATTTGGCAGTGAAATTAGTAAACGATGGCCACACGGTAGTGGACGATCACACGCGAGCGTTGGATGCCCATAGTGAATCTGCGTTTTCCTTCGAACAAGATTACGATCCACAGGTGGTCCCAGAAGAGGATCACTTGCGTCGTTACGTGGCAACATTGACCAAATGTAATGCGTTGTACAAGATCAAGATCACCAGAGGTTTTAAATACATCTTATTCCTACAATATCAATATATATATATATATATTAATAACTTTAGGTTTTATGTACTGTGTACCATTTCCGTCGCACAATTATACGAAGCTGAAGGTGTCCAAGTGCTCAGTGCAGTTTGCGCATATTGCAGCGTGTTACAGCGCATCAACAGAAATCGTGTGGGTTTGCGATTGCGACTCAAGTGGTTTGGGGCGCTGCCTGGCTAGTGAATTTGCGGGCGATTTTGGGCGAGCGGAGCATGTTATCAGGGTGTCCAAGGAATGCATAGCTGAGGGCTTTGCATATTGCCTTCATGCAAGGTATGAAAACGAGCGAAACAATTTTTAACGTACGAATAAACTCGAATCGAATCAAATTTAACCGAAAAATAATCTTGAGTTGCCCAGATCATTTTCTCCCACGACGTCGCGACAACATGGAGCGTGCACGCTTTGACCAGGCACAAAGCGTCGTGCGTCGTGCACCTTGAAAGACCACGTTTGATTCCCAATACGTTGGAACAATTTTGGAGCATATTAGGCGAACGACGTGAACGAGCAGTGGTGTACAGAACAAACACCGGAAGCGTCGAATGTAGCAAGTGTACACAAGATAAGTGCGAGCATTTAGTGGCCGTGAACGATACGGAACCCACCGAAGTGTCTCGTGGCCCTGGAATTAGCCGCGAGGTACATTGAAATGAATAATGTCATGGTTAATTCTAGCATCTCAATGAAGTATGTTGACACCGAACAGTGAAAATACAAAGCGAGCATACGGAACGGGGAAAATCCCGTACAAGACAGACGCTCTGATGGCAACCATTAAAGCATGTCCTGCAGACCAAGCTGGAGCCATCTTTTTCCTTGACGCCTCAGCCACGAAGTGCGGGTGCTTCGGTACATGCAGCTGTGGCGTCGTTTGTGGTGGTGCATGTGAGTGGGATTTGGATGGTGTAGCCATCGACGCTAAGTGCACCCTGTTGCAAATGAACACGCCTTGCGACGTACTTGTCATGAAAGTCATTTGCAAGCAATGCGGGCGGTGGAAGTTCTGGACGGGCGAGAACGAGGCGATTTTTCGTTTCAGCAAATCAACGGCTGTTGTGTTTGAATTGTTGTACAATGAATTAAGCTACATTGAGCATGGGACGGTACGTAGAAAGTCTTGCGTGCATTATTCAGTAGTTACTAATAATATATAGGTACCCTTCAGTGCACTTTTCGCCAGTATTTCTAGCCGATACACGATGTTCGGTGGGGAGTTTGTCCATCGTCAAACCTTCATTGATATGTCTTGGGCTTTTATCGCAGCCATCGACATGCCATTCCACGAGGACTTTTCGTGCCCGCACTGCGGCGACTGCCAATGGATCGTGGTGGTAGGGACTGCGCTTGCCCCCATGCGCAATAAGGTCGAGTTGGACACTCTACGGGATCGTCCAGTATTACTCGGGGGAGGCCTGTGGCACAGAACTAAGTCGTCTAACCGTGCGTTTCTACCCTCCGAAAGCCTTCAAAACCAATTGAAGCAGTTGTCCATGACAACGTCCACCCACACATCAACTCTCGCTGTACGTCTAACTTAATTTCCTATAGATAATTAAAGCGTGATTTAGGAATTACATTCGTTTTCGTTGAAAGCCCCCTACCTTGCACAACTGCTGCAATCGACAATGACCGAACAAGATGGTGGTATCTTTTTCGACATACCAGCGAAACCGTGGTCCCGCTTTTTCCATGACCTGTCCAAATCAACAAGTGTGTGCAACGGATTCATCATGAACCCGGCGGTCGTGGCTGCCGAACTCAACATGTGGATTGAATCCAAGAGTCTATCCCAACGCGCTCGGAAGGTCTTTCGGGACTATTTCCTAACGCTCAATTTGGTGATTGTACACGAACGAGACGATTTCTGCCCATCGTACCTTCAATCCGTACTTCAGCGCCTGGCTTCCAAATGCGACCTTAAAGTCCAGGACGATGAACGTGCCCTCCCCGTCGATAGCTGCAAGGGAGATTGACGTTGAGATTGATTTGCAGCGTGGAATCTACCTTCCGGGATGATACATGGATACATCATTACGCCCAAAAGACACGCACTTGGAATGGATGCCGGAAAGATGGCGGCGGCAAGCACAAGGACCTACTGCCTGGCACTTTTACTCTAACTTGTGTTCACGGAATTATCCTTGGTAAATATATAATTTTCCGAAGTAGGCTAATACTGTTTTAGGGTTCCACCTAATGACACAGCCTGAGTCACCTGAAACCTTGTTTTCAATCTTTTACTCGCGGTTTCCCGATGCAGACCGTGTGGTCATCTACGACAACGCATGCAACTACCACGAGTACTGCATAAATCGTAAACCACAATTTTTCGCCAATCAAGTTACAAAGCAGGACCGCATACACGCGAAAGGCCACGTTGGATGCACGATCGGCCACAACTTGGATGAATTTTGGTGGGCCAAGGCCGTTAACACTCAAGTTGCCGAACAAGGCAACGCATTGCTCGATGGCGTGAAGAAGCAATCAACATTCATGACGATTGGTCATTACGCGCTTTTCGTTTGGTTTGTCTTGGCCAACATGAAATTCATTTCAAGAGCCTCCACGTCGGCATTGGGCACTTCGTGAAGTGGCCCAAGCAATTGCAAAGGTTAATTCCGAAGTCTTTGGACGCAGTAGCACCAGGCGATGCACGTGTGCATTTTTGCAATCGTGAAGTATAAAATAATATACTCATTATGTGTAGTGCTATCTCGGTCGAATATCGATGTTAAATACGGACTTTTCTTCCTCCAAATACAACTGGAATACAACTGAAGATTCGTTGACATCAAAAGCGACTCCTTTCATTTTCAGAAGCTCGATACAGTCAGGCTTCGTTCGCCCGGCACTACCGGTATTCATTCGTGTCATCCATTTGAGCTCTTCAAGCGGCATTGCCCGCAAAGTCTCAGCGCTTGGGCATACTTCGCCAACAATATTGCCATCCGGAATGCCCACGACGCATGTAATGAGGCTGCATGTTCTAGGGCCAATGAATGGGCCACTGTATGACGCCATAAATCCGGATGAATCGGATCGAGTGAACATCTACAACTTGTTAGTAGGAAAAACACGTTTCCTGCATCGTACGAAGGATAACGTTACTGTATACGAAGATGGCACTTTCGTCAATATCTTCTTCGACGACGCGAATTTGTCGCATCTTGAGTGACTCTTTCACATGCATTAGTACTGACCTAGCACAACTCCTATAACGATACTTACTAGTTTTGCCTGCGAAGCTGGTTGCATTAGGTATAACTTTTTCGGATTGAACTTGCAGTCGGCTAGGTTTTAAAGCAGTAGATTGAGTACAATGTACCCAAACGACGTGTGTTAGCCTCATTGTTGTAATGGGAAAACAACGAGTGGAATGTTGAGCCTCGTAATTGAAACTCATTCACTGGGACGACGTAGTCTTGCTTGATCGACGTTACTTTGACATGTATTAGCTCGCTGTTTTCGTCGGTATCGAACGCTACAGTGAGTACTACAATGTTTAGAAATATTTGAAATTTCACATATTAACTACTTCCTCTGTCCTTCTTTACTGTGACCACTTCAAGATTGCACTTTTCCCACAATACTGCGACCATATTATTGTGATTGGTTGATTTTGAAATATATACATTTCATTGGCTATAAATCTTATCGACTCAAGGACTGGACTGCTGGAGGAATGAGATCACGTGAAAGAGAAGCGAAGCAGGACATGTGACGTTCGCCATGAGGGTTCCAGCACGTCTCAATGTATCCTTCTTCAGGTGGGGCAACTTAAAGTTGTTGTCGCCGTGGTGTTCCATTACAAGGCGCATCACCGCCTGCAGGGTAAGGAAGATGCTACTCAACTTATCACTACTGAGAACCTCGAAGGCGGACAATGTAGCATCAATCACATCGTCCATCGACCGACTCACCATCTTGTATTGTAGTGATTGAATCGATGCGAAGAAGCCGAGGTCCAGGACGTTAAGGTCCGGACTATTTGGCGGCTGTCGACGGACCACAAATGTCCACCCATCCGTCGACACAGCAGCCAAGGCGTCTTCATCGATGGACCCATGAGGAGTGGCATTGTCATGCTGCAGCACAACTCGTTTACTTCTGCTGGGGAATCGCTCCTTGATGGACGGCACGACCTTGTGGGCTCTACCGAATGCCAGCCGCTCGAACTTGTTGGTATCAGTCAGTAGCGGTTTGAGTCGGGACGATCAACGGTTGGTCGTCCCAGACTTCAAGTGGTGGCAAAGTGTGCTTACGGAAATCCCCGTCGAGGAAGCCATGTCGCGCATGGTGCTGCGATCGCGGGCCGGCACGCTACGAACGATTTCGGTGACCTCAGCCGGGGTGTGGCGAGGTTTCGGTCTGACACGCCTTTCTCTTGGATACCATCGACCTGCTCTTGAAGTCGCGCCATATCTTGCGGACGGTGGCGCGACCGACTTGACAGCGAATAGCTGTGGCTTGAATGGAACCGCATGCGAGCTTGCCATTGTAGATGGCATCTTGGAGGGCAAACACGACTTCCATCTTAATGTCTGGGGTGAGTTCACGTGTTGACCGCGGGGCTAGGCTCATGGCGGCAAATTCAAAATTGAGGCTCATGACCCAGAGTTTTTTATAATATAATTTTATAAACATTTTTTAATAATTTTCTCACGGCGTTTAGTCTCCATTGGTTTTTACCCCCAAAACCTGGTTTTCACCCCAATAGGCGCTACCTCTAATATTTTGATTGTCGAATTTGCTAGATGTCACTCGTGGAAATCCGATAAAATATGTATTTTTGGGGTCGCTAGAAGTACAAATGGTCACGTAAAGAAGTATGTAATTTACGTATGAGCAACCACAACTGCACGCGCAAGGCTTGTTTTCCCTGGGCCACGTTCGTCAAGTTTTCGAAGCGATACTTCGGTTCCAAGATGAATGCACGACCGGTCTGCTTAAAACATGGCGGTCTAGTCGCCACGGTATTGTTTTGCCACAGTCGTATACCTCGACATGTACAATGACAATGATGCAAACATGCAATGATAAACGTGACGTTATTCGTACCAATACTAAACAACTTTTCGTCGACTTGCTTGGCACAAAAAAATGCGCTGGCGGGCATTGCAGGCAAGAGTCGGTCCTTGATGTCGCTGGTGAAAGTGACTCTTGCGCCAACCATGTACACTTCAAGCAGATGGATTAGAAGCCCGTTTTCACCTCCTAGGTCTACGATAACCCCTTTTGCAAGGTTATCACCCTCGCGCGGAGAAGGGGGCAGTCGCCGGAGGTACACGGCGGATCCGATCGAGTACATCCCAACGGATATAATGTTCGACTGAACCAACGTTTGTCATTAAAAACGAAACCGCCTTGAAAGAAAAAGTACTTGTTGCACCAGGGTTTGAATGTTGGACTACGCAGCTATAATTCAAGTACATTAACCGTCGGAGCTATTAGGTATATACAGCATTAGGCTACAATTGCAAATTTAAAGTATATTATTAAACTGTACGAACCAATCAAACTAATACTATTTATAGTACCGCCGAGTCACCCACGTCTCCAAAGACAACAACTGTTTAATTCGGTATAACTTACAGTAACCATGTTGTCAAGGATTATGATCGGGTCCTTGGTCTATTTCCATGCATTCCATCTCTGGCCTCAGCCGTCGGTCAGTTGAGACTGATGGGAATAGTGCTCACAGGCTTAACAGTTAGACATGTGAGTTGCCCAGCGAGGTCTGTTAGACCTGTGCAGCTTGGACATATATGGGCTGTAAGTTGTACAGTGAGGTCTTTCCGGATGGTTACGTTCAATTTTTCAATATGCTTGCCCTCAGTCTTGTATTTCCCCGGGCGGCGCAAACTGGACTCGGCCGTATGTCGCATTGGGTTCCATTCTCTTACAGTACGCCAAACATTCCTTCATCGACCAACAGAATGCACCCCTCCGCTCTTAACAAGACGTTGGGGCTCTGCCAAAACGTCAAGTCGCAAAGCTCGTGTTCCCCATCGAGTTCCATTCACTTCTGCAAAACATTACTTAATCAACCAGACAATTGAAATGAGTTTGTTATACCAAGAACACCCATTAGGCACTTGGACTACGCAAACCTCTACACGGGCTTAGTCGCACAATGCAAACCAGTATCTTCATTCGTTTATCCTGATTGGATACCCTTCGCCAGTCAAGCCTGCCGATATTCCGGATTGTTCTTAAAGAGAGCGATAGCTCCTATGGTCGAATGTTCTATGTGTTTGCAGGCGGTTTCTATCCCACACATGACCCCTCTACTCGGATAGTACAACTTCCAGTTACCTTTAGGTACCATCTCGAACAAACTGGCTGAATACGATGCTCGTGCTCTACATCACGTGACAGCATCAGCATGACAACCTCGTCGTCTACGGGGAGATTCAGGTCGTCGTGCGTCTATTGCAAGGCCTCTATCACATTAGTCACACCGGCTTTCGATAAGTATACTGCTCAGTGAACTCAAGAAGGGGTAAAAACTAGGACGACGGGAATACTGCACGATGCGTACTTTGGACTCACGTTTCCATCTTCGATGGGCGGACCATTTTCGAGATGGCGACCAGGCGGCGGACTTACAGTTCACCTCCTGATACGCGCAGGATCTGCATACCACTTCGTGTCTCTCAAAAGCAAAGCTCCATACTCCTCTCCAACTCAGTGATCTAGCGTCTTCCTAGATGGAGGTTTATCGTTCGTCCCCAGTTCACATGCTCAAGTGCTTTGCTAATAATGTAAATGTCAACATATTTCAAATCGGATCGCTTAGTGTAGTCGTAGTGGGATCAGACTTTGATCGAGGTGGTCCGGGGTCAATCCCTTCAATGAATACTCTTTTTCTGAGATGAACGTATTTGATATTTGTATCAAATACGTTCATCTCAGAAAAAAAAGTCTTCATAGGAAATTACAGTACTATTGTTATTATTAAAATAATAACAATAGTACATTAATTTCCTGACACTATTTTTACTACAGTACCACTGTCCTGTATAAGGCACCTGCAATTACGTCGAGGATGTTGATGTCGACGCAGTGAACACCCACATGCAACTACGTCGTAGATTACGTCGCATTGACATACTCGTTACTTGGGAATATCCGGCACCATTCTGATACATCCGAATACCGAAGTTGATGTTAGAATAGGTTTGGGACAAAGTTTAATATTGATATTTCGAAGTATTCACAAAACATACGAAAATCCGTGAAATTATATGAGAAATTCCAACCAAGTAGTGTAATTAATGTGATACATAATTACATATTGTGTTGATGTTATTTAGGAACTGACAAGTGTATTACACTTTACCCATACAGTGTAGTGTATACTTCGAAGTACCTACCATCTCTGTCCGAAAACTCTCTAATGTGACCGACCAGTGATGTGCCGATTTTTTTCTATTTTCTTTCGTGAATTCCTCGTCACGTATTTGTCCAATAGTGATGTGGTGGACGTAACCTGAAAGAGCTCGTCAAGATCTGTCACATACACCTAAACACAATGGATTTAGACTGTTCACGATGACATAAATAATTTCGTAAGTTGCAAAATTTACATTGATGACCAGTGATGTGCCGAATTATATAATTGAAGTATGAATTAGGGTTGTGTTAAAAACAGGCGAGCAGACTGGAATTTATACAATGATAAAGTAATATTATATTCGAACAGGAATAATATATTGCGGAACTGTACTGCACTTTCTCTCTTATTCGGACACCCAACCGTACCACGTGGCAATGCTCAGCAGCTGGGTCAAATACCCACATGCTTCCGAAGTGTCCTGTGAAGAGGGGCGAGGAAAGAACCAAACGTAGATGAGCAGTACTGTACTGCACTAGTACGTAGGATGTGCTACGTGCTAGTAGTAGATGAGCGAGGATAACGTAGGCGTGCCGAACGTAAACCAGCTGACAGATACATCATATCCCTGTGTTCATCGACCTCATCGAAGCGGCCATGTTTGTACGCCGTCAGGCATGTAGTTCTGCTTAAGGTGATTCATGTAATTCCCGGCCAGCATGCAATACCCGGCCAGCATGCAATACCCGGCCAGCATGCAATACCCGGCCAGCATGCAATACCCGGCCAGCATGCAATACCCGGCCAGCATGCAATTCCAAGCCAGCATGCAATTCCCGGCCAGCAAATGGCCAATCACAATCATCCATGGACAATGATTGGACAAAATTACATACACTTGTAAGATTTAATATTCGGCTTGTCGGACATGTAATACAGTTCTATAGATATCTTTCGTCGTCCACGACATTTTAACCCGACAACTTTATGATTGGTTAACATTGTATTCCCAGAGTGTAACTTTGATTGGCCGAGCTGTGAGACTTCTCTAACAACCTCATTTCACAAAGGACCAAGATCCCTACACTTCATTACAATCGTCCCTCGTGCTTTCGCTTGCGGACTTCAGACAAGGTATTGCTGTAAGAGCTGGTGTGACCTACATATGCAGCCTCAAACATCTCATAACTAACATACTTTGAAAAGGAAAGCGACAAGGTCAAGCGCTCAGAGCACTTCCGGCGGTCGACCCGGATCATTTGTTTGTTGAACGATCGCAGGGGTTGATACAACCCGACCGCCGGGTCTCCGGTAAACCATTGTGTCCATGCTTCGTTCGCCGACCGTGCAGTAGGTACAACAGCGTGCGAAACGAAGCTGTCCAGCGTCATTTGACGTTGCGACTTGGCAGCCACTGACGTTGGCAGTGTGCGGGCGACATCGGCGGCGACGACAGCGGCAGGTAAAACATGCACGTTGGTTTGGAGGGACTTGACAATTGCGTTGCAGAGGTCTTGTACGTTCATTTCGGTGACGGTTGAGTTGCTGGTGTTTGTGTTGGTGCGTAGTAGATTTCTCGGGTCGATTTCGTTTGTAATGCTGTGTGTAATAAGATATTCACAACATGTCTTTGCGTCTTCCCATCGGCACCATGCCATGAGCTCTCTGAAATTGAACCGACGCTCTGGAGACTCGAACACTCGGTAAAACCTTCCTCCACGACGCATGCTGTGCAACGTAATTCCTAAAAAATATTATATACTAGTACCAGTTGAAAAATTAAATATGTGAGCAAAAAATACCTGAAGGAAGTTCGGAGCACTTTTCAACTGCACTTTTAATGAACAGACGGACTTGATTTTGATCAAGACGTTTGTACCAGTTGAGTCTTGGGGTCCCAGACGATTCGAGTGTGTAGGCAGGAAAAACAAACGACTTGGAGGCTAAATTCGGACTGGCCCGATTGACGAGGCCCACGTAATCTGAAAACAACCCACACACACGCAAGCACGTAAACGACTTCTCGTCAACGGGATGGTAGATTTGGCAGTCACTTTGTACACTGGCCTTTTTGTGCCAACGAAGTCTGAGCGATACATACTGGCTGTCGCCATCGTGTTGGAGGGCGACGTCGTGTCACGTCAGGTTTAGCATTTCGCTGATGCGAAAACAGCCAATATAGCTCGCACAGAGAAGGAACCGGTACAGTGCCCCGACAAACATGTGGGGCGAGGCCAGTGAGTTTACGAGCAACGACAGCTCGTACACCGACAGTGGATGGGCTTTTTTTCGTCGTCGATGTTGTTTTTTTTGTTGTATTTTTGCAAACCAACTACGTATTGGTTGGACTCAACGTCCCGGGCAGGGTTTGGGTCGACTTTGAGTGCTTGGAAATAGGCGACTAGCGCGGTCTTGGCGGAGTCGACGGTACGGGCAGTCTTGCTGAGGCTGTAGAGGAGGTGAAAAAAGTCCGTGCATGCCCCTGGTGTCGCGCCGGCAGGGTCGATTGCGATGACATCCTTACAGAACTTGGCAAACTGGTTTTGATAGGTCTGGTAGGTTCGCAAGGTCGACTTCGATCGGAAGGAACCTTGGATGGCTGCTTTATGGGGCACGGTGGTTGCGTTCATGATGCTGAATTTCTTTTGTTCTAGGGGTTGATGAAACGTGGCTGTATTTTCAGACGACATCTACGTATTAACGTCCAATTATTGGGCGTACATGTTTAATGTTGGTCTTCCCCGACATGTGGGTCGTTCAATCAACGATTTTAATTGAAACATGTTGTCGTGCAGCGAATCACGACAAAGTAATTGTCGGGATTGCCAATCCAAACTCCTCACGATTTGTCGGTTCCCAGGTAAATTTATATGTATTACTTCGAAGTACTTATTAATAGTAGTTGCACTTCTAAATTTAATTACTTGAACACTTTTACATATTATATTAAGAGGTTCTGAGGAAATGTCACCCAAATCAGGCATACATTATTGAAGTGACTTACCGGGAATTATATTCACACAGGGAAATTTCAATTTTAGAAATTCGACAAGCAAATTGGCCATGCGATACAAATGATGGGACCTGTATAAAGTTATAAGCTCGTCATGATCTTCAAAATGCATGTTTTCGCAGCCTCATCGGATAAATGGGTGACGAGTTATGGCACTCAGAAAGTAGGCCAAGCTGGCCGGGAATTACATGAATCACCTTACCGGAATTCCCCGAAGGAATTTCAGGGAAATTGTATTGGAAAATTCGTGTGGATAATTACTCTACTGAATGGGCCTTGGATAGGACTGTCTGAATGGCTGATCTCAGGGTGTCATCGTTTGGTGTACGGCGTTCGAGGCAGCATTTGGATATCAATTCAACATCAAAACCTTTTAAATATAATAATTTTTCCACCATAAACTTTTACAAGATTATTGTCATGAGAGTCTGTTTTGTACTACAATACAGCTCGAACGATTTAATTGGATGAAACATCACTGAACAATCGGCACATCACTGGTCGGTCACGTTATTCTTAAAGTTCCACAGCAATTGTTTGCTACAAGTGTACTGTATCCATTCGTCGATTAAATGTAAGCTCCGGAGTATTAAATACAAATCAAACAATATTGTGCTCCAGGGATGCAAAATGTCAATGGCATCACCGTCGACAACGTCTTGAACATCAAGACTTTTGATGTGCAAGACGTTGTCGACAATGATGCTCTTGATTCAAGAGCCTTTAGCTGCGTACGAAACTCATCGAACTTGCACACGTTATTTAATTGATCAGTGTAGTTTAACTTGACGTGTTGGGGTCGTTCGTGGTCGAGAACTCCTTGGTGCCATACAATCAGATGGCACCATGATAATCCAAACTCAATTAACCATACAATACAATCAGATGGGCAACTTGTCCTTGGAGAATACGGTTAGCCAGTACATTCAACAGATGACGCAGTGAACCAATGGGACGTGACCTCTCTTCCGAATTCTTGGATGTGGTACGCATGGAGGGGCATGGTCAACAGTGGCCAAGCACCATATATGGCCATAGCGCCTTCGTTAGACCTTCGTCGACAACGAACTCGCGCCCAAGGCTAAAGGATGCACAGTTGTGGCCATTAGAACAAGCTACGGCACTGTATTCCGCGGATTGCGGTGTACAGGCCTTGAAATCTTTTTACGTCCTTCACTTGGTTCATGTCACATTCTAGATTCCAGTGTAAATATACAATCATGATCTATATAATGATATACCAACCATACTACTGTATACACACGCTAGCCATGTCGAATTATCCGAACATTGGACTCTAAATAGGTAAGGTCCTTGTCCTGCCCCGCAGACAATCTAAAATTGTTACTTGTTAGTAATTGCTAGTTATGAATACTAGTACTATGTATCAGGGAAATCGCATGTGTCGAAGACGACACAGTATTATCTTTACCCAATACTTCCACGCGCTGACGCCATGGCTATGCGCACCACAGGCACTCAGCAACCGAGACTACAGTTCTGTACTACACATGTATCGCTAACCTCAGCTTACCCGTCCTAAAATGAAACGATTGGAACAGGTTATCCGGACCATGTGTTGGTATTTATCGAGGCCAATCCAATACACGAGGGCTTGGTACTCACCGTTTTCTTCGTGGACGTCGCCAAGCTTGGCCACGTGGAACCCTTCATTGCAAAAAGGCAATATGGTCGGCTAGGTCTTAAGATACATCGCGGCCGCCTTCACAATACATCTTGAGTCGGCAGGCATGGTGGAGGGACAAGTCGTACGACTGCACCAACTGCTGGGTCTCCATGACATAGTCTGTCGCGACCCGGACGAACTTGCTTGGTCCGCGTCAGTGCAGGGGCAGCTTGTTTCCTTGGCAGGACACTTGGCCAACGATGAAAAAGTCGCCGATCGAGAACTTCCGGAACTCGACTCCTCGACTGGTTCACGACCTTTGGGTAGGTTATGAACATACACAAAGGTCGTGAACCAGTCGAGGAGACCGTTGGCAGTCACCGCGGCCTCGCTTGTCTTGCTGGGCCAAAGTCGCACGATACCGCTCATGTCGTCCTTGATGACGAGGAGCTTTTGCCAGCCGTTCGTCGCCGTGGGCATGGAGATCCAGTCGAAGTGGTTCAGCTCTTGGGCTTCTCGGTATGGAGCGCCGATCCAAGCTGACGCGGGACCACTGAGCCGTCGGCGCTGATGAAATGGATGCAGGCTGGGGCAAAGGTATTGACATCGTTTTCGAGGGTACTCCAGGCGAAGACATCGCGGACGACCTTGGTCGTGGCTTCGATTCGTCGATTGCACGCGGCGCCTTGGAGCGCTATGATGCAGACCCGCTGCTGGAGGTCCGTGACACTTGGTGGGATCCATATATGGTCTTCCTTGTTGAGGAACAGGTTCTTGTGTTCATTTCACGCCACGCGGGGTCTCTCCCCTCTTCACGGCCACTTGTTGGGTCTTGACGATGTCGGCAGGGCTGGGACAGTCGAAGTCGGGTTGCTGCAGGGACGACACCAAGGCCAGGAGGCGCTGGACGGACTTCGTTGGCACTTGAGCCTGGGCGGCACCCCAGCGGCTGAGCAGGTCGCCCCACACATTGTCTTCACCGGGCAGGCACTCGATGGTGTAGGGGAACAAAGAAAGCACTGTGACGGAGCTGGAGCATGGGCTTGTACTACTATACCACATCATGGTACTACGATCGCAAAGGTATATTATTCGACGGGCCGACTACCTTCGAATTCGACCGTCTTGCCTTTTATTCTACAGGACCTTTCCCCAAAGGTCGTCAGCTTTAGTTAGCTTTTAGATTGTTTACTTTTACATTTGTCCAACATTGGATCTACTCCTTTCTTGCTGTATTCTTCTTGGCCAAGCCGAGAGTATCTGGTCCTGAAGTCCGAACCTCCGGACCTTCGTAATTTTTATGCGTCTAACCGTCACAGCACCAAGGCCCAGCGCTCCAACTTGTGCGCTTGGTACCTTGCCATGCTTGGGGATTGAAAATGTACTGCAGGTTCTTGTGGTTGGTGAAAAGGCGGAAGCCAGCTGGGCGGATGAAAATTTAGTCCAGCCGCTTACAGCTTTCCACAACGCCAAACGCTTCCTTCTCCACGATTGGCCAACGCTCGCTTGCGCCAGTAAAGGCGCCGCTGAGAAAGGCCTCGGCTGGTGGCGCTGCTCTTCCAACGGCAGGGCCAGGTCTTCAAATGATACTTTAGTGGTGATTACGGCCAAAATGACCAAATATGCACTACTTGAGCAATTATTATTTGTTAGAGTGAATTAACTGTAGCAGCGCCACATTTATCGAGTTTCAGAAGACTGAAGGCGTTTGGTCATTCTCGATACCATCACTTGTGTCGGTATAAAGGCAGACTATCATGTCTGCCCGTGGGTGCACCATGGGAAGCGTCGCGAAGCGAGCTTCCTTGATCTTGTCAAAGCAGGCCATATGGCCAACGTCCCATCCAACGGCAGTGAGTTGGACGCGGGTGAGCTTCGTCTTCTTCGCACTTCCAATTTGCTCGGTTACTGCGTCGAGGAGTTGGTGAAGCGGCGCCACAAGCTCGGTGTAGCTGCTCCTTCAGTTGATTCTTCTGTTGCGCTTGTTGATTTGCCAACACTTGCGCTTGTGCTTGGGTTTGGGCCTCCAGCAGTTGTTGGATCATCTGCTGCTGTTGCTCCATAGTCCCAACTAGCCTCGCAAACACTTCCTCCACGATATTGATTGGAATCAACTAAGTCTTCCTTAGTGTCGAACTTCGGTTTCTTCGCTTCCATCTTCGCTCTCGCCAACAAATGCGCGTCAATCGCTTCGGTTACGTATCCGGACGACGAGAGCGTACTTAATGCGGTTGCTATTTAAGCCGCTGTTCACGCTACGCAGGTCTCGCTGAAAATGCTCGTTCACTCGTTCCACTGTTCGGATCTTCTCAATCAGACTCCTTCTGATTGCGTCCAAGTTCTCGACGTCGCTTTGTTCGAGATAGTGGATAGCGTTAAATGAGACTAAATCCCCTTGACTCGACGCCTTGCGCTTGAGGATGTTCTGGTCCCGCTGGATATCCTTGCTACTCGCCGCTGCCGCTCGCTCCGCTTTCCTGAATTCCTTCTTTTCGCGTGCCTTATTCTTGCCCATGCACGGGTTTCATTGGCAGTTAATCTTCACACGCTCCAAGTGTCCATTTCCTAACGTCGACTCTACCCCTACCGACTCTGATATCGGATACTAAGGAGAGTACTGTACTCTCGAGGAAAAAGAAACACTTAGGCGATCGCTAACTCGACACTAATCGCTATGAAAGGTCGCCGTTGAACCTTTGCCTGAACTAGATTAAGTAACGTTACAACCTCCGAGCTATGCCCGTCGGTGTAAGTCCTTGCTGCCGAACTGAACTGAACCAGGAAGTGCTACCAAATGTAACGGTAGCGAGCTTCACAGAGTAAATTTGAAAGTGATTAGATTGTCGTCTTAAAGTACTAACTACGAAAATGTATACTCTACTAAACTACATCAAGTACGTAAATGTTTTTCTCTACGGCTTCTTCAACGGCCTTCGCCGTTAATGGTGCGACAATCTTTAATTTGTTCGACAGCTTTGCATCGCTTTGTTAACGATGCGACAAGCTGTATTCTTGGTCGGCAACCTTGCCATCGTTACAACTTTTCCATTGCCAGCAGTTGCCAAGAACGTACGTAAACACCAAATCGAAGTCATAGGCAGCAAGGACGTTACGCCCGTCCGTCCGTGATATCGAGCGCCGTCAGAAGCACTGATCCACACAGAAGTATGAGTCATTTCGAGAGCCATACGACTTTTTACAAAGCGGGGGAAAAACAACTTGCTGCTTGGTGTGATCGTGGGATGCGTCGAGGCGTCTTCGGATGGCATTCGAATATAGAATAGCACAAGACGTCCAAGGGCGACCATAACGAGATGTAGGTGATGTGATATGGTTTCGCCAGCGCGTTGAAATCTCTATTGCATGTTCGTTGATGATGCGTTGTGGCCTCAGAAATATAGGAATGTAGACCTCCAAAGGTTGCGCCGGGCATTCGGAAGGTATCAATGAAGGCATCTTCGTTGTCGTCGAGCATTTCAGCGACCCACATTGCTCCAGTCAAGATAGACATCGGCTTTGATGTGTTGAGAAGGTACGCTGAGTGATGATACTCCAAGTATGCCATCATGATCATGCTACGCCGTCTGTGGAAGTGACGTCGAAGCAATAGTAGCAAAGAAATGTACATACCGTGTAATGTACATACCGTGTAATGTACATAGATTTCGACAGTGGCGGGGCAACTATCCGGATAGTATCGCTTACTACGTAGTACTTGAAGTATAATCAAGTGTAATAACCCAAATATATAATTTTACAGAGGATTATATAAATTTACAGAAGCGTTCAAATCTGTATGGCTGTCTAAACCTAACGGTATATACTGGGCAGTTGTTGCTTTCGCCATATGTTTTTAACTTATGACAAAAGTGCAAATTTCACACGTTTAAACTGCTTTTAGGGTGACGGGTGTTGTTTTTTGTTCTTGTGGCCGCGAAGCAGGTTGGTGAGAAAATACTCGCCGGCCTTGTAGCTGGATCGAACCATGGGACCCGACGCAACATAGAGGAAGCCCAGACTTTCGGCGACCTTTTGCCAGTGGGCGAACGCGTCCGGCGTGATGTACGCGGCGACCGGCATGTGCTTGGTGGACGGGCGCAGGTACTGACCGAACGTGACCACGTCCACGCCGGACGCACGCAGATCCTGGAGCGTCTGCATAACATCCTCGGGGGTTTCCCCTACGCCGAGCATGATGGATGTCTTGGTGATCAGCGACGGCTGCGCGGCCTTGGCCAGCTCCAGCACGGCCAAAGACTGGCGGTAGTTGGCGCGGTAGTCGCGGACACGGCGCTGCAGACGTTCCACAGTCTCGATGTTGTGCGCAAACACATCGAGGCCGGACCGCGCCACCGTCTCGACGAGGTCCACGCGGCCGGAAAAGTCGGGTGTCAAGCATTCGATGAGGATTTCCGGGAGCGCCGCGCGCAGTTGACGGACCTGGACATGTCGGCATATTGATGAGGATGCATATATATATATATACATGGAGAGAGAGAGATGGAGGACGACGTACAGTGGACGCAAAGTGCTCGGCGCCGGCATCGGGCAAATCGTCGCGGTCGACGCTGGTAAACACAATGTAGTCCAATCCCCACTGCGCGATGGCCTTGGACACATTCGCGGGCTCGTTGGGATCCAGAGGAGGAGGACGGCGACTCGTCTTGACGGCGCAGAAACTGCAGCCGCGGGTGCACGTGTCCCCCATGAGCATGATCGTGGCCGTGGCCGTGCCGTTCTTGCCGCCGCCCCAGCATTCGCCGATGTTGGGACACCGTGCTTCCTCGCACACGGTGGCAAGCTTCAGCGAGCGCACGGTATCGCGTAGACGGATGTAGTTTTCCCCTGTCGTAGGTTGCGCCTTGAGCCAGTCCGGCTTGCGGTTGGACGCGCTCGGACGGCGCGACGGCTTCGTTGCGACGAGGTCCTCGGCACTGAGCACGTTGTCTCCCCATGAGACAATGGGGTCGCGGACCTTGGAAGCTTCCTCGGCAAGTTGCTCGCGTAATGCCTCGAGGCGGGACTTCCGCGTGGCCCCAGCCGCGGTCGACGAGAAGAACCGGCGCATTATCTCGAAACAGTGAATGGTGTCGAAAATGACTTGGGATGCGGGCGTTGAAGGGATCTTAAATGCATTTTAAATGCAAACCACATCGTTCATTACGTTCAAAGTGCCATTTCGAGTTTCGAGCGTGGTATTTTAAATTGTTTTATAATGTGGTCCAGCGGGAATCAATAATGACACCATTTGATTGGTCACTTCCAAAAACGCTTGGTTGTGATTGGACCATTCAATTGCGTCCAAATCATCGAAAGCTGGAGTCACCAGAAGAGTGAACCTGACCCCCGCTATGCAATGCCATGCAAAGTTCCAGAGGAGGCTACCACTAGTCATCTTACTGGCGGCGACTCGTAGGGCCTTGCATAACTGCTTTGAGTGCATTTGTCCCTTTACAGTTTGATAAACTCGCTGCACGAACTTGCTACAACGAGCTCATCGAGTTGGCTGCTTGCTGCCTGGTCTACCAAGTACTGCATGTGTCATGCACACCTTTGACAATCCTTATAAGCAATCCAAGATTCAAATCTCCGATCTAGTGCCGCCATGCCGCACCTACATTCAATGATACCAAGGTAACGTTATGACCGACCAATTGGTCAGGACCAGGGAACGCATCATTCGTTGATCACGGAAGGTCTAGGCTGCTTGGCTATGTCGGCCACTGCCTACTCCCTCGGAAGGCATACCTCATGTATGTGTGGCGATGTGTAACTCCTAGAGGACGCGCCGCCGCGAGCGCCAGCGGTCCAACGTGTCTTTGCTGCATGTTGTATGGGTCGGTCGAACTTTGTGGTTGCAAACAAACTGACTGAAAGTGGCGTGGGGTAGGGGAATGACCTTAAATTGAATACCCTGTATAAACGTATATACTTGTATTTTGTATCAGTTGATTATGCGTTGTATCCTGCGATGATCCCCGCAGAACTCGATATGATAGGGCCAGAATATATATTAATTGTGGCAGGTTTGTTTCACCGCACACCTCACTTGAGTGGTGCAAAAGCATTTTGCTTCTGGAATTAGTATGTTCAAGCGCATCGTCCAGTCGCCGGCGCTGAAGAAGGCCGCCGCCGCCGCCGGAACTGCCGCCATCGGTGGCTCTGTGTTCACAGGTGTCACCGCCTTCAGCGATGACAGCATCCCCGCCTTGCACTACGGCTTTGAGCACGATGGTCCATTGACGTCGTTCGACTACGCCGCTGTCCGTCGCGGGTACCAAGTGTACAAGGAAGTGTGCGCGACATGCCATTCGGTCGACAAGATCCACTTCCGTCATTTGGTCGGTGTGACGCACACCGAAGCCGAAGCGAAGGCGCTCGCGGCAGACATCGACGTCGAAGACGGCCCGAACGACCAAGGCGAGTCGTTTGAACGTCCCGGCAAGCTGTCGGACCCTCTCCCCAAGCCGTACGCAAATGACGAAGCCGCCGCCGCTGCCAACAACGGTGCCATTCCTCCTGATCTTTCGTTGATCGTGAAGGCGCGTCACGCCGGCGCCGACTACTTGTTCGCGCTCTTGACCGGTTACGTGGAAGCGCCCGAGGGTAAGGAACTCGGCAACGGGTTGTACTACAACCCGTACTTTGGCGGTGGAGCCATTGCGATGGAGAAACAGCTGGAAGACGGCAAGGTTACGTACGAAGACGGCACCCCCGCCACCGCGTCTCAAATGGCCAAGGACGTGTCCGTGTTCCTCGCCTGGGCCGCCGAACCCGAGCATGACGAACGCAAGAAGATGGGGTTGCAGTGGTGCCTCGGGCTCTTCGCCGCCGCCGTTTTGACGGGGTACTACAAACGCTTGCGCTGGGCACCGTTGAAGACCCGTAAAATTTCGTACTTCAAATAACCATCGAGATTTTGGACCAAATAGATAATATCAACCAACTGGGTGTATGTATCGTTCATTGTTCGTCATTCAGCCGACAATCGCCATGTCCGCTGAACTCTGGAAGGCTGCTGGGTTGATGGAGTCGTGAGGCGGAGCGGTTGCCGTGGCTCCATCAAGGACACTCCACTCTTTCGGTAGGTGTGGCAAACTCAGCGCGACGTGAGCTGAATTCAAATGTACAACTAGTAGTACTAGTAGTATCTGCGAACTAGTACTACTACCAGTAACGGTACACAATATCTAATCCGACTCACTGTGTTTAAGGACTTTGTGGGAGGTCACAATAACTAGTAGGTCGAAAATCTGATTTCAGCGGCCTTTCTCGAGCGAAAAATGGGATGATAACGTTACTATTAATAACAGTAAATACTTCGTATTAATAGTATTTATTGTTAGTATTATACATCGTGTGGCCTACTACAGTATTAAAAATACTTCGTAGTAAATTACTATTAACACGTGAGTAGTTTTTACATGGAGTACTATTAGTACTACTACCACGTGAGAATAGTATTAATAGAGCCTCAGAGAACATGAGAAAGTTCCACGAAATAGTGTAACTGCAAGTTGAACATGCTTGGTCTGGATCTGTGTATTACGCGGATTTATTCATGAAGCTCTTCAACCGCGACAAGATGAGATCGAGCGCGACAGCGTTGACTCCCACGGGCACGAGGATGTCTGCGACGCGCTTGCTCGGTTCCACGAAGAGCAGGTGCATGGGGCGCACCGTGGTCATGTACTGCTCGATGACGGACTCGGCGGTCCGGCCGCGCTCGCGGATGTCGCGCTTGAGGCGGCGGATGAAGCGCACGTCCGATGGCGTCTCCACGAACACCTTGATGTCCATGAGATCCACAAGGTCGGGGTCTGTAAACAGCAGAATGCCTTCCACGAGGATCACGGACTTGGGCGACATGTGTTGCGTCGACAGGCACCGAGAGTGTGTCGTGAAGTCGTACATGGGGATGTCGCACGCGATGCCCTGCTTGAGCTTGGCTAGATGGGACACCATCAGCGCCGTGTCCAACGCGTCCGGGTGGTCGAAGTTGTGTTCCGCACGTTGTTCCAGTGACAGATGCGACAGATCCTTGTAGTAGAAGTCGTGCGATAGGTACGACACGGCGCTGTCGCCGATGTCGTCGATGATGGCCTTGGACAGCGTTGTCTTGCCAGATCCAGACCCTCCGCACACACCAATGATCAGAATGTCGTCATCGTTGCCGTCGGATGTGCGGTGTGCCAGGGAAAAGCTTTCCGACACCAGTTGGGCGTCGGTGAGGTCGGAGTGCGTGCGCTGGGTGTGTCCCGGCAGGGGCTTCTTGGGCACATTCTTGTTTGCTGACTGTTTGGACTTCGATGCCTTGCTCTGACTGCGGACGGAAGTCCAAGCGAGGGCGAAGGCAGCGCCCAACAACGCGACTTCCACGATGGCACGCGCTGGTAGCATCTTGCTTTTCCAAATGTGATGCTCATCCATCGAACTCGATCCAAGGAAAAACCCACTGATAAAACGTGTTTACGTTTAATGCGTTAAAGGGGTTTCGGGGTGTATGACATCGAAACATTTTTAGTAGTCCTGCCACTCAAGTTTTTGAGAGTTAATAACTGCATGGTATACAGTCGCAACGATACATCTTATGGATTCTAGGCAAAGGTACTCAACGCTTTACAATGTAAATACAGTAGCTCACAGTATTGCAATGCTGTAAGCAGCCATTGACTTGAGCTGGGTACTTACTACCCACACACACCCTCCCACCAACAGTAACTTATTCGAGTATGTAGTTATTCGCACATGCAGACGTAATTTGACGATTACTACGGGCATGCTCGACTCGTGGGCTATGTAACGTTATGACCAACGTTCGTGCTTGGCCACTTGAAGTTCCGTTGGTTTAACCTATTCTACGTATGGCAGCAAAACACGTTTTACTCCTCGACCGCTGTCCTGCCATTCATCTGAACACCCGCCCACAAATGGCATCCTAAAGGCACCTTGCAATAGTTTGCATGCGAGTATTCATCTTCACGATGTATTTCACCTACTAGTATCATGGAAATGCAGTCTACATATCGTACGTGTACAACGTGAACTGCTGACGCTACGGCATCAGTAGAGTAGCTAAAATCCGGATAAAACATGTCACTCGCACAATAACACTGGTCACTAGTCACGTATTCTACGGATTCGGAATTATCCGGATACCCTGGTCACTGGTATATATTTTGAGTCACTCTACAGATCGCATGCGGATTGGCTCGTCGCTTCTGCCCATTCTTCACTGGCGGACATCCATCAATCTAGCACCATGATGATGCAACGAAGCCTTGGATCCGTGCGCCGCGTGTCAGGCTCCCGATGGGGCCGTCTTATGTCCACCCTGTCAAAGGATGATGACTTGTCCAAGAAGGGCAAGGCCAAAAAGATGTTGTTCCAGAATGCGCTCGCGGACGCGCCGCAGAAGCCCACGGGATTCACCGACAACGACGAAATCGAGCAATTGCGCAAAAAGGAGGCCGCTGCCCCCGTGTTCTTCACGGATGAAGAGCTTGATTCCGAATACGGCAAGTTCAAGTCCATCATGGACTCCGATGACGACGACAACGAAGAGTCCGACTACGTCCCCGTCCGCGGCCGTGTGGAAAACGAAATGATCATGGCGGATAAGACATGGCCGCTGACTTCTGGGTCCGATCTGTGGATGGACTTGATCCAGATCCCGAAGGACGGAAAGTTGGAAGATAACGAACGCGAGTTGGTGCTGAAGGCGGCCTTCGAACGCATGGGCCACACTTCGGTGTGGGACGTGCAACTGCCGACAATGAGCGTGGACGTGCCGGAGGACGACCCCGACTACAAGGCTTTTGCCGTCATGAAGCAAGCGTTGATGAACAATGGACGCATCAAGATGGCCGACAAGAACGAGATCATGACCATGTTGGTGGACGAAGTCACGCGCCTGCGTGCCGACAAGACGGACTTGATCCCCGGCTTGAATTTAGACGAAGACTAAGTAGTATAGTAGTTGCCCTGGCATCATGTATCTACTGCTTTCACTTGCACTCGTACGATTTAGCCACATCTCTAGCGTTTCCCTACCGACGAATATGCTACAAATAGAGAAAGAAGTACTTCGTACTACAGTACTACATCGTTTCAACTTGGACTCACCTCAAAATTTGACTCATTTACCCAATTTCTACGAAATTTGTACCAATGAGAAGCTGGGAATTCGGTATTTTGCTTCCTCAAATATATATTTCTGGTTTGCTGGAGAATGTGCATACAAAGTAGTGCGAACATGTTGCACTCGTCGAGCTGTCGTTTGCGATGGTATTGGAGTACTTTGTTCGTTGATATTGCTCGTCAGCGCAGAATTTACTATTAAATCACTCACCGGACTTGATTAATGTATGGTCAAATGGGTAACAATATGCATATACAGAGGTAACGAAAACTCTATAATCTACTTATCCGATATGAGTACTCATCGCCTGGACCAGTAAGGTCCCATGGTGGCAGTCCTCGTCCTGTATATCAAAGGGTAGAAGGGGCGACCTAGAGTACCATGGGAAAAAGCAACCTTCGTTGGAAGGACTAATAGACCTTAGTAAGAGTACGGAAAACATGGAAATCGAATCTCAAAGAACAGCCACAGTAGAGCTGGATGGGACTTTCAATTTAACGTTAAAAAACCCTCATTCATCGTCTGGAGGTGACTGATGGAACGAGCACTGTAGTGCATGACATCCTTGTCAAATGAACTCAATAATGATGAGAAATGCTCTAAGTTAGGCGTGTCATATGCTGCTAGCATTTTTCCAAGTCCCAGATTCAGTGCCAATACTAACGTAACGAGTCAATTTATGGACAGGCGCCAATTTATGGACAGGGTGCACGAGCCAATCAAAATCAAGTTCAACTTACTCTAATACTGAAATACTTTTGTAACCCAATATCGCACACAGAATAAATTCAAAGAGAATCAATTATCCAAACAGTAGCGAAGGCGCGAGCACCATGGCGCGAAAATCTGAAGCTCATTAAACACAAAAAGCAAGGTGAAATAGGCAATTTTGTATGCTGCGCAAGGTAAACCACCTTGCGAATTCCATAAATAATTTTGAAATTGTATGATTTTAAAACAGTATAAATTGTAACGTTACTACAGTTTCAATTAAATATATCTTCAAGTTTGTATTCTTGATTTATATTTTTCATGTGTCTGTCTGTTTTTGGGCAAGGCAGGTGGGTACGACCCCGACGGCGTGATCGAATACGAGCACTGGCCCTGGTCCAATATGTCACGGAGGTACCGCAGCAGCTTGGCGCGCACACCTTCCGATTCCAAGGTCGGACCAAACGCTTGGTTGATCATCGTATCGACTTGGTGGAGGGCGGGACAGCCCAGGATCGACGGGTTGAGTAGCCGCATACAATGCTCCATGCCTCATCACGCCTTGTTGCGATACATTCTACTCCTGTGATGGCTGTTGATGCAAGGAGCATTTAGATAATTATGTAACGTTAGGCTGTGTATGAGAGCAAGATCATGTGATGTGGTATTCAGGACTCGGTCAATTCTACCAGGTCTCATTTCACCACGTGCCTACTAACCCAATGAAATTGGTCATCCCTCATTCCACCATCCAGCCCGTTTCGGTACCGTACATCTCCCTGCCGGTGTGATCACGTGGTTGCGCGGGCGGTGGCGCAAGACGTCTTGATTGCACCCATCGCAAGTGCTGAAGTGGCGGCTTTAGCACTTTGCTATGGGTGCTACCAAGACCTCTTCCTCCACCGCGTTGGCCCACCAGAGCCACCATGACATTGCAATCCACACAATATAGATGTAGTGATGGTGAGGATCCTGAGACGCAGTACCATTTCTGAGCCTACTCGAGTAGTAGGTGGTCAGGATGTCTCATTCCGGACGACGTGGTCGAAATGGTGGAATTGTAATTGACTGTGAGTTGACTTGTCGTTTAAATTCTATATCCTTTGATTTATTATATATATACTGTGTAATCTTATATTTGTTTCCATTGGAAAACTTCGAATCGAACGAACTTTTAGTTTGGTCAAATTAAGTATAATGTACCCTGTCCATAATTTGGCGCATCTCATCCAATGAACATTCAATACTTCAAAGCCACCTAACTGCTGTAATACCTCCTTAAACTTGATGAAACAAGTTCCATTCGATCAATCACAACTTAACCTTTATGGATGAATAATGCGAAAGGTCCGACCGCCTCCGACCACCTCCGACCAATCAGAGGGGTCGGAGGTTGATCGCAATAATTGAAATTAGGACTAGGAGTTATGGGTATATCTGATAATATCCCTATACAAGTACATACAACATTCTATATCCAGAACGCTTAGGAGCGAGCTTAGACCAGGGCCGGGAGCGTAGCGAACCAGGCCCGTTCACCCGCGAGGCGACTCAATATAACTGGAATGATCTATCGAAAGGTTGGGAGCACCGGAGGCCGGGAGCGAAGCGAACCA